AATATATCATATCGAATCGAAAGTGCACTGTATCGAGATATGTATCGTATCGTGGCCTGTGTATCAAGGTATTTATCGTATTGGCAACTTTTTAATGATACCTAATTAAGACAATGTTTTTTTTTAACTCATACCATCCATGAGAAATTATTATAACTTTGGTTTAGTCCTGGTTTGGCCTTAGACTTTTTTGTGGTCCTGGTTAGACCTTTGTCCAGTCTTGATTCAGACCTGGTTTAGTCTAGATTTACTCCTGGTTTTGCTTTGGTCTTTGTCTTTGTCTATAGTGTGACCTGCTGCAACCCTTTTAGCATAAAGATCTTGTTTACTTGATTATAACTTCGATTTGAGCAAATTTCTGCCCATTAGAGATGATGCCAGATCATTTTCACAACCGCTGGTTTATGTGAAACGCACTTTGTAATGTCTTTGTAAAGCATTATGAGCTAGTCTGAGACAGCTTAATTATTGCCTATTGGAAATCTCATCGTTTCCGCACAGTTTGTTGCATCCTGGTTTTACTGATCCTCCCTTCAAACAGCTTTCGGCCTGTAGTCTGTGAAGCATGCATCTCAATTAACTCTGCCTCTGGAGCTGACTAAAAAGGGCACCTACTCTGACATCAGGTTGACCCTTCTTTCAAATCCAACCACTTTCCTCCTCAACGCACATGTCCGAAACCTTAAATATAACATACCACGTCTTTGGTCACTGCAGCGGGCAAAACCTCTTAAACAATACTAGCTAATCCTTGAATCTTCCCTGTCTCTCCTCATGCTAAGTGCGTGCGCTGATTGCTTGTGAGATTGAGAGATAGCACAAAGCACGGACCCGCCTAATCTCTTTTCTTTTAAGGCTGGCGATTCTTCACGCACCCCTGTAGTCTCCAATCAAAGAGGCCCCCTTAGCTTAAGCGTCAGCGAGAGAAGCAGCCTGCCGGATTTGCGCCGCCTGATTGATGGACTGGGACTGCTCTGTAGAATGGCTCAGCAGGTTGCAGCTAGCCCAGCGCTAATCCAGCCGCTACAGAGGCCAGTCTCCAGGGCGCGGAGGCTAGCGGAGGCTAAGTTTATTACGGATCGTCACAGGGAAAAATGGGATTTCCCAGCGTTTTACAGTGGTGTGGGTTTCCTCTGTTGTTTGTATATGGGAGCGTGGCTAAGCAGTGGTTTTAGTGGGAGGCCCTCGTTGGTTGCGGTGTTGTGTGGAAAGCGAGTGAGAGCGGAAGAACACTTTGGGGAGTTGTTTTTGTGACTGTTCTTTAATGTTGAGTGTGTCCTGATGTATTTATGATGAAGGCAAAGCAGTTAAAATGTAATTTATATTTAAGGGCATCTATAAATTATAGGACAGTTAACAACTATACAGGATTGTTATAATAGTTAGTTAAATATTATAGTCAGTAGGGCTGGGTATCATTAAGAAGTTGCCGATACGATACATACCTCAATACATAGGCCACGATACGATACATATCTCGATACAGTGCACTTTCAGTTACGATATATTTCAAATTGATTCGATACGGTTCAATAAAAAACAAAAGCTAAATCATGGCTCTGATACTAAAAGTGTTTGTTCAACCACTTCTTGTGCAAAGTTTTATTCATTTCATTTTATTCATCAAAGCAGTGAAAATGTCAAATGTGTTGCATAAAAAAAAGTTTCCTTTCTCTGAACAAGCAACAAAACTGTAGCGCTGTAACAAAATAATTAGTGAAAATATACCCCAAAGTACTCTTGGCGATATATATCGATACAGCAGCCTACGATATCGATACTGTATCATCACATTAAACGATACGATATATCGATATATCAACATTTTTGCACAGCCCTAATAGTTAGTAGTTAGTTTACTTTGTTCAAGTGAAGAGATCATTTGAAAAAGTTCATCATTGTCAGTATAGTAATATTGTCAAAAGACAGATCTATTTCACTGCTATCAACATTTTATTACTTCCTTTCTTGATAAAAATCCACTGTAGATTATTGTCTTTCGTAATATCTGTAGAAGAAGATAACAAAAAGAGCAAAACTCAAAACGGAGATTTCTGTTTTTGCCCAAAAGTACTTCAAAAGTTACTTCAAAATAACACTATTGTCAAGTTATAATAAAACGGATTTGAGGTAAAAACTGTATTTTTTTCCTAAACAATTTATTTTATGGACAACAACGAACATAAGAAAATTAACGCAATGCAAAAAAAATTCAAAAAGTAAAAAAAAAAAAAATAAAAAAATCAACAATTTTACTTAAACGTCTCAAAAGGAAGTCACATATAAATATAGTATAGCAAACAATGTTGTATTAATTTAAAAGAACTACTACATTGAGAAAAATAAAATAATAAAAAAACACAAAATTATCAAAGTGAAAAGATCTGGTATAACATTATTAACTTTATTATTAAGGTAAAATAAATGTAAATTACTCTTCCCTCTTGGCCTTGTTCTAGAACATAACAGCTTTTACCCCATTGGCCGGTCTCGCCACTCTATTTGATTGACAGCTGATTCCCTCCAATCACAGCCGCAACTGTTTCCGTGCACCTTGTAAAGAATCGTCCTTTTGTTGCCTCCTTCTGCTTTAGCGCTTTGGGAGTGAAATCTTAGCCGTCCGACTCCACACTGGCTATTACACAAACGCATAGAGCAGCCAGAGAAACCCCCTGTAAAACTATCTGCCCCAATCAACCCGTCACTCAGAGGGCGAAGCCAGAGCGAGTAGCGAAAGTGTCACTTAGCTTAGCGTCGCTGGCCTTGCTTAGTGTGTGTGTGTTTTGGACGCTAACGGATAGAAAATTAAATGGCAAAAACAGAAGACAGAGGTTGCCAAGTGTAACGACATTTGTTTGTTAAGTGGTTTCAAAGGGCACCGGCTTTGGTAGCGATCCAAGTCTCCTCAAAAAGCCTCCGTCAGATTTCTTACTCGCTTTGGACCACAGAACATAAAAAATAAACTTACAAAATACATTTTAAAAAGTTCTGGACGTCGGCCATTTGTGTGTGCTATGTATGTTTTATAGTCTTGAGTTGCAGCTCCTCGCATTTGCACCCCTACAAGAACGTTGGTGTGCGTTTTCTGTTTCACTTCAGTTATCCATGTCTCACCAATGAAGTAATAAGACATGGCATCTTTAGGACTGTAGGTTTTTAGTGGTTTCGTTGATTAATCGTTTGACGTTAGTCCAGTGAGGTTCATTTGGTCTTTCAATAATTTATGTTATTAGGTTCTTTTTTCAGACCAAGAGTTTGTTTTCATACCTGACCGTTTCGACTGCTCACTATCGGTCTTCCTCAGAGTGGTCGCATGATGTTGCTGTGGCGTGACCGGTCAGTTGATTTAAACAGGTTTTAGGCGCTGTCTTCCTACCGGTGGAGGCAGGACGACAGCGTCATCTGTAGTCAAACTTCCCCAGGACAGTATCCCAGGTGTGTGAGAGTAAAAAAGCCCCCTCGTCTTGGTTTACAGTCCCGTGGGCACGTTTCTGTATTTCGATCTCTTTAATCAAGAAGCGATGTTTGTTTTCCTCTGTCCCAGTGATGTTTGCTCCGTCCCGGTCCATAATGTGGTTCTCTCTTTTACAGTGGTCAGAAATGGCCAATTTGAGTTGCTGTTGTTGTTCTGCTTTGTGTTTGGTTGCTTGTGCGCACGCCTTCGCTGTTTGGTTGACATTGTCTTAATCGACCAAAATTTGTATTCGACAACTATTCATTTTATTATTATAGATTATTTAAATGTATATGCGACAACAGCAGAAGTTAGTGAGAGTGTGTGAGTTAGATTTGGTATTTTTTGGTATATACTGTTTGTAAAACGGCAGTTAAAAGGTGCATTGCGTAACATTTCTGGTGCTGCTTGTCTCCATGGAGATGTTATTACTTTGCCTGGGATGTTCCATAGTATGATATTTAACATTTATTCATTATTGGCGTTTCTGTTGTTCAAAAATACAGTATTTCCTTCTGTGAATAGGGGCGTCTTTCCACAGATCTGAACTGTAATGTGTGGAACATTCTAGACAAAAGCAATTCAATTTGTATGGTGATAAGCTTTTGGCAGACCCTCCACTAGAAATGTTACACAGTGCACCTTTAAACTCATGAATCACAAGTTGAGTTTTTATAAAAATACTTTGTTTCCTAGTACTTTTTCTGCATAAATAGTTGTTTTTTTTCATGAATTCCGCTCCACAGTTTGGGTCAGATACACAGAAATACGTTATACTTTTGAAAGCTTTTACCACTCCCACTTTTTCATCGGCATGATGTCTTTAGTCGACCAAGATATATTTTGTCAACTACAGCCCCGGAGTTTTGGACACTAAAGAATAGAAAATACAATGGGAAAAACAAAAGACAGAGGTAGCCAGGTGTAGCGACGTTTGTTTGTTGTTAAGTGGTTTCAAAGGGCAGCAGCTTTGGTAGTCGTCCAAGTTTCACCGATGAATCATAAATATTTGAGAAAGAGCAGATCTCTTTATCTGACCTTTAGTGCAGTTGTATTTGTTTTTGTCTTGTCCTGGTTTGAGCCCTGGTTTAGTCCCGGTCTATTCCAGATTTTGAGCTGATGTATGGGCTGTTTCCACATTTCCTCAACCCCTAATTTGAAAATGATATTGGTGCAATGAAAGAACACATTCAATTTTAGCTTCTTTTCCTTTTCCTTCCTCATCAAATGCCCTTCTACAAACATGTATTTATTCAGGTTTGGAAGTTGGCATTGGCATGGTTTTTGTGGTTTTTGTGATGTTTGTAACAAGAATTGTGATTATTTTTTCTTAATACGCCTTTGTTTAATGTTCAAATTTTTATGGGCAAAGAGGAAATGACAAAAAGACTGAAACATAAACTAACAAACTAATAAAAGAATCCCTTTTCAGAACATCAGGGTTAGCAGTTTTTATACAGAATCTGGAGGAAGTTATTGTACTCCAAAAACTCCAGCCTTTGAGATTGCAATATTGATTCTAACTACTGTATTTGTTCTCTTCCAGCTTGTAAGATCGGATACTACCGTGCCCTGGCCTCTGATGGTCCGTGTATGAAGTGTCCTCTTCACAGTTACTCCACCAGGGAAGGCTCTACGTCCTGTGCGTGTGATAAAGGCTTCTTCCGCTCGGAGACGGACCCAGCCTCAATGCCCTGCACCCGTGAGTACTACTCTATAACTCACTGTGAAATTCATACGATTGTCTGTTAAAGTCATCTGCACAACAATACTCAAGCAATGTGGTTGTAATCATGCTCGCCGTACAATGAAAAGCTTCCTGGTTTAAAGTTACATTAGGCAATTTTTCTGATGGAGGTTATGGTTGTCGTTATGGAGATGTTATTTTTCTTTTCATTGAAGTTTCTACAGTATGGTATTCAATATCTATCTTGCAGTCATTCAGCGAAAGGTGATTTAGGCCCCATCCAAACTAGTGCGTATTTGAGTCGTTTTCGTCGTGGATGCAGTGTTCGTCCACACTAATCCGATGGAAAACGGCTCCAGAGACGGAAGGATCCGGTGCCGTCAGCTCTCACGAATTCATCTGAGTACGAATCTGCTCCAGCACTGTGTGGATGACTGAAAATGTTGATACGCTGATATAGGTCTATGTGCCGCAAAGTAATTCACTGCCAAAACGAGGCTAGAAGAGGCTAGAAAATATGTCCATTCATATATACGTCTATGCGTATGACCTGCAGACGGATAGTCTCTGAAAAGTTTAACATGAACCATCTCCAACACAATAGAAGGCTTGCAGACACAGAAACAACATGTCTGGACACAAATCCTTTCCGATACGGTGATATGGTGATACAGTGATTACATAGCCTTAATTGCTCAAAAATCCCATTAAAATATGCATTCTTACGGTGGGCATAGTTGCTTTCTACAGATCTGACTCGTTACTTAGTCTGGTGGTTATCCTTATTATAACCTTAAACATATTTTAGGACAGATCTGCAGGGAAATCTGCAATAGTGAAATATAGAGTAATCTGATTTAAATTCTCATTTTAAACTACTTAAGAAACAGGATACGAAAATGAAAAGCACAACTTAAATATTTGAACAGAGGAAGGAACTTGTAAAACTTATTTAACCAATGTCGATCCAAAAACCATTTGAGCCCAAGACACAGAAAATCTTTAGTTTCAAAATTTAAAACTCCATATTATATCTCTTTTTGTGGCTTAGGCCTGCGATATATTGCTGACGAAAGTATTACGGAAATATTAAAAACAGGAGCTGTTCTAAAAACAAACAGCAGAATGAAACACTTTAGTAATTAGTTGCATCTGTGAGGAGTTATAGAAATTATTTATTCAACTGTCTTCAGCTCAAATGTTCATATCATAGTACAGAAAAACACCACAAAGCTCCCCTCTAATACAAAGAAAACGTACCTACGCCAAATATTGACTCCCACAAACTTGCTAAAATGGTTCCATCTACCATTTATCGAGCGATAAGTTGATATAGTAATTATCGTGACAGGCCTATGATTGCAAAACCGAAATAACTTCCAAAACTAAGCAAAGCTACCTTACCCCCACACGCACCCTTCCAAATGCGTGCTTTAATAGTTGGCTCTGGCTGCAGGTGGTGCGCAGTGATCAGTCTTAGTGACAGAGAGTTAATGAGAGTGTAAAATGGCTCATCTAGTCTCGCTCCCACAAACACCGACTGCAAAACAAGCACGAGCGAAGACGAATACCAGAGATAAAGCGCTCCAATGACCTGACAGCAAAGGTTTCAACAAGAGCAGGAAGGGAGATGGAACGTGTTTTATAGTATGAATTATATTGTCGTTGAAATCAAATTACGCTTTCACTGTCATGGAACTTACAGCAAGTGTTTCAATCTAAACTTGGATTGGATGCGTAAGTGTCTACAGTGGAATTTATGGGGTTCAGCTTCCCGTTATATGGCGTCGTTTTGAGGACTGTTGACCGTTCAGAAGTTTTGGTTTTAAATAGGCAATTACTATGGCAACGGTCCTAACTTTCAGAGACCTGAGCGAGTTTTGCGGTGACTGGAAAGCTAACAACAATACTAATAGGGATGTAACAATATCCAAATCTCTTGGTACGATATTTTCACGATATAAATCTCACGGTACGATATTTGTTACGATATTTTGTGGAGGCTTACAAAACTGTGAATATGCTGCTTTTTCGTCATAAAATACCTTGACAAGACTTAATCCAGAGACTTAAAAGTGCTTAGAACTGTTATTTCTTCTTGTAGTCTGAACTGAAACGGGGCAAAGGATCATGGTCTATGTAGTTCCCCCATGTCTTTTTTTAGCTTTAACTATTAATTTAAGCAAAGAGACTTGTAATTCGATATACTGTGATGGTCCACGATATTACTGTGAGAACTTTGACGATACGATACCACGATATTTTGACTATTGTTACATCCCTACTTCCTGATCGTTGGAGCGCTTTTTAACTAATCGCAGAAAGGACACAGTTAACTTCTGACGTCAATGCAATATTTTTGTACCTAGAATAACTGTGAGCGGGGTTGCCTCTGCACAGATCTGACCTGTAACTTGGTCTGGTTTGGTCCCTGTGAGGTAAAAAGCATTTAATGGACTCTCCACCAGAAAAGTTACGCAACGCACCTTGAAATTTGTAAAAACTTCAACTGATTTTTGGCTTCTGATGGCTGGTAATGGACAATTCAACTTTCATTAACCTTTTTTATACCATTCCACAAAACAAATGCCTTTTCTAACCAGGTGCATATAGGGAAATGTAAACCACTGGCATTTTAAAGCAGTTTAAACTCTAAGGAAAAGTCCCATACCACAAACAGAGGCTCTGGAGACATGTTTTGGTCTCCTGTCTCGGTCAATAATGCAGCGTGCTGAGTGATGACTCTATTGTAATCTGACAGAACATTTAAGACCCACAGCCAGAGAGCTAAAGAGGCTTAGCAGATGTTTGGGTGGTTAGGACTGCTTTGTGAACACTGGTTAAATATTATGAAGTCATTTTTAAAAATTTCGGTTCAGCGGCAACACAAAGCAACAACCACCTCTTTGAGTTACTGTGAAAACCGCTGTATAAAATTGAGGTATTATTATTTGTCAGTGTAATTTTAAAGTTTAAGATTAAACCATAGACTGTATATATAAATAGACGTGGCTAACCCGCTCGCCGCCGCGTTCCAAATGGGAAGTTCGCATGCGGGCTTTTCTGGCTCCTTCTCCCTGGCTCCCATTGACTTATATCGGAATATTGTGGCCCCTCTTTCTGTAACTGCTGCTGGGAGCCTCGTCATTTTGGTCTTAAAATGTTCGTCCAAATTCAGACTGGTTTAAAATACCAAGAATGATCCCATATCTTGTTTTTAGATTTTCCATAGTTTGACATTCCCAAATTTCACTTTTTTTTTTTACGTCAGCGGGTCATGTTTGATAATTATTTGTAATATTTAGTTATTAGTTAGTAGGGATGTACAAAAATATTGAAATATCATTATATATATTGTTTCGTTTAATGCGATGATACAGTATCGATATCGTGAGCTGCTGTATCGATATATCGCTGAGAGTATTTTTTGGCATATTTTACAAAATTAACAGTTTTATTGCTTGTTTAGTGGAAGGAATCTCGACTTTTAGTATCACAGCCATGATTTACCATTTATTTTTTATTAATCCATATCGAATTGATTTTGAAATATATCGTATCGAATCGTAAGCTCACTGTATCGAGGTATATATCGTACCGGCAACTTCTTAAAGATACCCAGCTGTATTAGTTAGACAAGTCCTTAGTATAAGATGTAGGGATGTAACAATATCGAAATCTCATGGTACAATAATATCACGATATGCATCTCACGGTACGATATTTATCGCGATATTTTCGAGAAGGTAATAGAGTTACAGTTAGGATACTTTTTTTGCTTTTATAATACCTTGAAAAGACTTCGGTGTGAATCATTACTGTCATAATCCGAAGAATTAAAGCAATAAACATATTTCTTCATGTTGTCTGGACTGAAATGAATCATGGGATATGTAGTTCCCTATGTTTTTTAGCTCTTGTTACTATAAAACAATGCATTTAAGCAAAGGAGCTCGTAATTCGATATATCGTGACAGCTCTTTATATTATTTTTAGACTTTTGATATTACAATATAATATTATTTTGGTTATTGTTACATGTCTAATAAGATTTTCAAGTTTTTATTTTTAAAACTTTTTCCAAGACGTAGCACGAGGACAGAACCCATCCCATGTGAGTTATCGCAAAAATCCAGAGCCAAATATGAATAATAATTGCTTGGAGCAGACCAGGGCCCTCGTGTATCCGATTACCAATGGGTTTAATGGACGCTTGTTAATCAGAGCAGCTTTAGACCGCGGCTGCCGCTAGCAACAGCTGTCAAAGCTTATTACCCCAATGGTTTAGCCTAGCGCCCTATATCCATCTCCACCATAGCATAAGTGTGGGTTCAGGACTCCCAACTCTCCCACCGACCTTTGACCCCTGAACCCTGAACCTGTCTGTCGTCTGCTGTTTTCCTTCCGCGTGCGCTTTTCCTGCGAGCGCTGGGCCACATGCGCAAGCTAGGTAATTACCGCCGTCACTCAAATCGGCGCAATCATTTTTGGGGCTCGCAAAGTTGTTTCCTGTTTGGATTTGAAAAGGCGTCTGGTTACGGTTTCAGATGTGGATTACAGATAACTTCGCTTATAAAAACAAGTAGATGTTAGTTTAGTCAGTAGTTTTGTTGCTTTGGGAGTTGTAGGGTTTTGTGGATCGAAGGGACTAACTTAAGAGATGCTGATTGGAGCACATTTTTACCCCTAGAAGATTGTTTTCTGTATTTTGTTTTAGTACACAATCGGGGCCTTATTTGTATATTGTACTGGTATTAAATATTAGGTGATTTTATTGGGTTCTCAAGACCACCCGCTGCTCCTGACAGTCTGCCCCAACTACAATGAAAGATGGGTCAAATGTAGAGGACAAAATGTGGTCTTTAAAGGACAGTACCCATTTTCCATGTAACAGTAAAGTCCAAGTTGTTTTGCCCCAGTGGAAATCAGCTGGAAAGTCCTCCTGAATTGTACCCTTTATGAAACTAAGTTAGTTTATATATATATATATATATATATATATATATATATATATA